GCTCTCTCTCTCTCTCTCTCTCGTTCTCTCTAATAAGTAAAATAAAATATTTTTAAAAAAAAGAGATGAAAAGAGTAAAGATCTTTCCCTCTGAAAAAACAGCAGCGCAAATGCTATGAAAACGCAATTTACAGAACTTAATCTAGACTACAAAAAGAGAAAGCTGGATAATTCTAGCTGTTGGCAAGAATGAGAAGATGTAAGAAGCCTCGGGCTTGTTAGTGGAAGCTGGGCTGGCGTCATCATTCTGGCTTTTGGGTCAAAGCCTCAGTTAATAAAGAACTGCTCCTCTGCCTTGCTTTGTCCTTTATGCATGTATTTCTTTTGGGGACTTCACAGGGAGAAATGGCCAGTCTACCACAGGCTTTGGGCCTTAGACACTGTAGGTCCTGACCAAATACCTCTACCTGAATCACACCTGATATGACTGCATTGGCCACTTGGTCTAAAAAGACAGGGAAAACCAAAATGCCACTGCACCCTTCTCACACAGGTCTGGACATGGCTTTACCTTTTTTTTTTTTAGGGAACAAATTTATTTCAACTTTTCTGAAAAATATCAGGAACTATGAAAAACAAGCTATTAGCTGTAAAGCACTGTGTTCTGTTGGAATCTGAATTCATTCGTTGATGTGTTTGCAGGTTTCCCAACTTCCCTGTCGTTGACATTTGAGCATGTTGTTTTATAAATGATGAGATTCCAGGGTGGGAACTGAGTGGCTTTACCTTTTTTCAAATGAGATTTCAAAACGTTTCTGAAAGGAAATTACTATATATTTAATGTTTAATATAATTTCTGAAGCAAACATAACTGTCTTCTAGTTGTACGAATCATCATTTAGGGAAGATCTGATCCCAGAATCTGGAAACAGAAGAAATTTAGCTCCAAGAAAGCATGGTCAGGAGAAAGCGTTCTTGGGATTTAAATAACCTAGAAGTATCATAAGAGAATAATCATATGGGTCTGCTTTTCTTAGCCAAAGGGAAATACAGTCACTTTTCATTCAAGGGAAGAGAACCTAAACACAGGCACTGAGCAGGCCTGTCACGGAAGGAGATGAACCTTAAGTGAGAAAAAAAGTCTCATCCTGATCTTGAAGCTGACTTGGGCAGGCCCCAAAAGAAGTAGTTAGATTTCATGCAGATTCTTCCTTCAGAAAAGAGCCAGAGGTGGCCAGGAGACAGAAGGGAGAAGGGAAAGGGTCACCAACTCCACGGTCATCAGGGGACGAGTCAGAGGCTTGTCTCCAGACCAGAAAACGGAACAAGATCTCTGGCAGACCCAGCTAGGACAGAGAACAGGAAACATACATCACAACCTGAGGAGGTCATGATCCCCAAGATTCAGAGGCCAAAACTGCTTTTTTTTTTTTTTTAAAGATTTTATTTATTTATTTGAGAGAGAGAATGAGATAGAGAGCATGAGAGGGGTGAGGGTCAGAGAGAGGCAGACTCCCTGCTGAGCAAGGAGCCCGACGTGGGACTCGATCCCGGGACTCCAGGATCATGACCTGAGCCGAAGGCAGTCGCTTAACCAACTGAGCCACCCAGGCGCCCCAAAACTGCTCTTAAAATTCCTGATGATGCAAGAGGCCCAGCTACATACAATACCACTTCGTCATCATGATTTTTAGCCTTTGGAGTTTGCTAACAGGCAACCAGTACCCAAATATCTGATACCAAAGAAAATTCACTTGGGTTGTCCCCAGTCTCTACCCAGATGGCAGATTTCTGTGCTGATGACAACACTGCTCCCTGGACTGTGGTAAAAGCTCAGCCTCAGGAACCTGTGGGGCTGGACCTACAAAAGGGGCCCAGGTCTTTGGCCCGCTCTCAGGGGCTGAGGAGGATGCAGACCCATACTGTCTTCCTAGAAGAAACTACTGGGTAGGTCTGAGGTGCCCAGAGAAACTTTTCTCTTCATGCAACAATAGGTACTAGTTGCAGACCCTGGGGTTATCTGCTCACTTACCAGAGAAATGTAGTTATGGTAAAAACAGGAATGTTTCCTGGGCAAACAGGGATATATAATGCGTACACATGCAATAGGTAATGTTTGCTTTAGGTAAAACATGGTATTAAAACAAAAATAAACAAATAAAAAAAACTCTTTGAAACACCAGTATGAAATCCTAGTGGAACACCACTAGGATTAATAACCATTTGCAATTATGACACAAAGCAACGAACCTTTCTAGAAGTCTTAGGAAAGGGCGCCTGGGTGGCTCAGTTGGTTAAGCGACTGCCTTCGGCTCAGGTCATGATCCCGGAGTCCTGGGATTGAGTCCCACATCGGGCTCCCAGCTCAGCAGGGAGCCTGCTTCTCCCTCTAACCCTATCCCCTCTCATGCTGTTTCTCTCTCTCTCTCTCTCTCTCAAATAAATAAATAAATAAAATCTTTAGAAGTCTTAGGAAAAGTTTATGATGTTCTTAAGGTCATGGTTTATTTCAATAACAAATTTCAAAACCTTAAATGGTGCAAAAAGTACCAACATCCTAACTGTAACCAGATTTTATATCACCCAGAGATGAGAAGCAGGTTGAAATATCCTAAAAACACTGTGATTTTTTAAAAGAGCAAATTGCAATTTTCCTAAATATCAAGAGGGCAAGAAATGAGAAACAGCCATGTGGTTTCACAAACTCTCTATTTAGAGGCTAGCTGGAAAGAGAAATTTGTACCACATACTGAGGGAAGGACTAATAAGGCTGTTCCTTAGGCCTAGTAAGGAAGGAATATAAACAACAGTAAGATAGGAAGATCATAAAAAGAGTAAGGAAAAAAACATGCATACAGTGGACATGTAAGGACTCAATGATATTTACTTGTAAGAGAGAAGGAGGGGAATTACAACAGAGGACAAATCAAGAGCAGGTCTGCCAAGAGAATTTCCCAAAGAGCAAAGTAGATTATCAGTATCCACTCCGGCATCAATTCTGTCATCACTCCCATCCATCAATATTTCCTTGCCCTTGTATTGGTACCAATCACTAACAAGAAATCAGGGCATCTTATCCCTTTGGAAGGGATATCCCACTTGGAAGCCCAGGGGAACAGTGGCTCCTGAGGTCTGCCAAGTCCAAACACCAGAGCTAGGCTTCCATGAAGTAGTTTTGGGCCAAATAATAAGTAAGTTTTAAAGTGCTCCTTTGCCTAGCTTTGTCCCGCAAGTATCTCCCTGGTGATCTTGTTGATGGAGAATTTGGCTACATAGGGTCCTGGTTATTTCCCTCTCTTTTCACAGAGAAGACATGACTCACAATACTGACGCCATGATAATATAAATGCACTCTCAGAAGAGGGTCACCGTATCCAACTGTTTTTAAAGGAAGAAAGAGAAAACATCAGAAGAATGAAATTTCAAGGAATAACATCCATCTGATATTGGCTGGGTCTGGAACAGTGAAATCACTAGTTAACTAAGCAGGCCACAAAACAAAAGGAACCTGGGTACCTCAGGTCAGTGTACCTGGTGGGCCACTGACGAAGCAGTAGTCTCTTCATTCAAAAAGAATTTCACAGTTGGAAATTCCTTCTGAATGAGTAGTACTTGGCACCAAAAAGTGACACATGTTTACCGAAAATGCTCACCACCCCAGGTCACTACCTCATCAGCAGTGAAGAGACAAGGTGATCCATTTGCAGTCACTTCCTGAAATCACCTCCAGCTTACTTCAGGATGTCAGTAAGGCATGCTCACCAGACCCTAGCACAGTGTGTCCACAGAACATCCTCTTTTAGTCATCTTCTGGCATTTCTTCTAGTCTTTCAAGGGGACAGTACCAGAAACTTCTTCCTGATTAAAAAAAGCCCATAACCTAGTCGGCCTAGCTAGGTCAACTGTTTCCATGTCAGAGTATAGATAAAACTCAATTTGGCTGGGGGCGCCTGGGTGGCTCAGTCGTTAAGCGTCTGCCTTTGGCTCAGGTCATGGCCCCAGGGTCCTGGGACTGAGCCCCGCATCGGGCTCCCTGCTCAGCGGGAAGCCTGCTTCTCCCTCTCCCACTCCCCCTGCTTGTGTTCCCTCTCTCGCTGTGTCTCTCTCTGTCAAATAAATAAATAAAATCTTTAAAAAAAAAAAAACCAACAACTCAATTTGGCTGGAAAATATACCCCCTGCACTTAAAACTTCTTAGCAATCTATACATTAAAATATTCCAATTTTCGGGCGCCTGGGTGGCTCAGTTGGTTAAGCGACTGCCTTCGGCTCAGGTCATGATCCTGGAGTCCCGGGATCGAGTCCCACATCGGGCTCCCTGCTCAGCAGGGGGTCTGCTTCTCCCTCTGCCCTCTTCCCTCTCGTGCTCTCTGTCTCTCATTCTCTCTCTCTCAAATAAATAAATAAAATCTTTAAAAAATAAAATAAAATAAAATAATAAAATATTCCAATTTTCACTGCTACTTTCCCTGTGGTCAGCTAGGGCCCTTGGCAGTAGCTTCTTGCCCATGTGTTTGGACCTGCTTTCTTCTGCATCCAGAGGACACATGGCTTAGATTTTGATCACAGACAGTAAGACCGGCTTTTTTTCCCCCAAGGTTTAGAATCGAAACACTTTGTAAAGACAATCTACTAATCAAATTTAAGGTGATCCATTCCCACCACTAATGATGAAAAATACTTTTAAAATGTACTGAGTTAAAGCAAAATCCAGGATAAAGTGAAGTGCTTTTGTGGATTTGAAAGATCGGTTTAATTCTGTTCCTATCAGCTACAGGGGTGGACTGGACTCATCACAGGAAACTTCAAGATTAGCTATCAACACAACTCAAGACCTATTAGAGGACAAGAGCATCCACTGGCCACAGCAGCATCTCCCGCCCCTCCTCATAGCCAGCAGCGAAGTGGTCAAAGATCCCCCCTTCCTAAGAACCGCCACTGGTTAGAAATTGGGAAGGTCCCAACTGCACTGTGCGATTAAGTCTGTAGCACAGAGAATCCCAATTCTTAAACCAATCAGGTTAGTAAAATAAAATGTCAAACAGCAATCCAGCACTCACCTTTGTCATGAACACAAACTGAGAGTTTCTTGACACCATCAACCAGAATATTCTGTGTGTTGCCATGTCCATCTTCTGAGTCGCTGTCATCAAACTGAGCCTCTATAATGACATCAGGACTGTCATTATAGCCTTTCACGGACCGCTGTGGGAGATGGCTTCCACAGAGCTCCTCAGGGAGATCTAATTCATAGGCACCTTCTGTTTCTTTGTCATTGCTCTCTGGTTTAATTACCTGAAGAAAATAGAAAAGTTCTGCTAAATCACTGGAGGGAAGAATGGGAAATAACAGATTTTTCTTTTCTCATTTTTCTTTCCTAAAGGAAAAATGCACATTCAGAAGCTCACAGCAATGGCCACTCACCATGTAGCTTGAAAAAAGTATTTATTTTCCAGCTGCATAGACTACCTTATGGAGACGATCAATCCAGCAGTGCCAGGGTGGCCCTCAGCTCTTCAAGATGCCCAAGATGAATGCCATATCTACTCCCCATTTTTCTGATGTACCTGTTCATCCGCTCTCCCCCAGAGGCCCTGAATACCACAGGTACTAAGCTGCTTCATTAAGGGTACATCACATGGATCAGTGAGTATGTTCAGAGGGCATAAAAGAACTCAGTATAGTATGTTACTGCATTCCATATGAAGCCACAGGAAATGATGAGACAGAAAAAACAAAATTAAATGTAAATAAGAGTTTATAAATGTTCTCATAAAAAATTAAAGCCCTTAATTCTCCATTTTGAGGCTTGAAATCAGTATAGAAAGCACACAACTGATGGATATTTACACTAGTACTAAGAATGGAGCATTATATAATATGACAAATATTTTCAATTAAAAAAAGAGTAAAGCAAACAAGAGAAGAGTATAGATACTAATCCACTTAATGAGTTTGTCAAATAACAGTCATATGTCAGTAGTCTGATTTCTATGGCATTTGATTTCTATGGGTTTCTGTAGCAGTTTCTCTATGTGCTTAATCTTGAGAGGTCTAACATTTTTCTGAGTTTAACCTTGAAGTTTCAAAATAGATGTTCACCTTCAACAAGCCAGATTACCATTTGAATTAGACCACACAAAGATCCTTTAATAAGGGATCTTTATCTTACACAAGGCAGAAAAAAATTACTGAAAGAAATCTTTCCCCAAACATTTTCACGGCACAGATTCCAATTAACATAACCATCCCCAGACAATGAATATTATATTCACCCAGAAAATCAAAGTAAAATATTACAAAGGTATTCTAAAGATTCTAAGAATATATTCCCAAGTTTTTTAAAAAATGACTTCATGAAAATGTGGAAACAAAAATTTGTAAACAGTAATTTTTCAGAGTAAAATTGTGTCTTTTAATAATATTTTTTGAAAACTTGATTCCCAATTTCTATATATATATATATATAATGAAATTTTCTTTCAACTCTTGCCATGTTTTGACTCGTCACATTCATTCATTCATTTGTTCATTCTTTCACTATGAGAAGTTTGAAGGTTCCTTTTCTTTGATAGTAAAAGAAAAAAAATTCAACTGGCTAGGCCAGAAATCTCCAAAAAAGATTCCCTCAGGGAAGAGGGAAGCCACAGTCAGTCTTTAAATTAATATACCATCATAAAACCCAGCTCTCCTCTGTGCATTTCTGCCCTGTCACATAAGTCTGGTTTGTTTTCATGCCTGACCCAAAGGAGATCACTCAAAAAACAGAGAATTCACTGACAAGTTAGAGAAGAAAAAGAATTTGACGTCACTCAAATCAGCAAACCTAGTCATAATGTTCTTAAACGTGCCTGGCAAATTCAGTAGCATTTAGGAAGATCTGCCCCAACCGTCCTCGAAAAGTGAACACACCTTGCGTGTTGTCAGAATAGCCCAAAGCATGGGGCACCTGGGTGGTTCAGTTGGTTAAGTGTCTAACTTTGGCGCAGGTCTTGATCTCAGGGCCCTGGCTTCGAGCCCAGCATCGGGCACCTCACTCAATGGAGAGTCTGCTCGCCCCTTTCCCTCTGTCCCTCCCCCAGCTTGTGCTCTCTCTCAAATAAATAAAAAAAATCTTTGAAAAAATAGCCCAAAGCACAGGCAGGAGGTATATGTGCACTCTCTGTGTCTAAAGCATGGTGGTTATGACAGGATCACTGCTCTGTTGTTTTTTTCTACATCATTCCCACACACAATTTCTCTCAGAGAGAAGAGGGACTAGGGCTGAAGGAGAACGCCTGGTGTGTTAGAGTTAGACTTGCAGGTAACATACAGTCTTCTGGAAAGATGTTAAGCAAAGGGTCCATGCTGTTAGTTTCCATTATGTATTTATTTCTGCCACTAATGGTTTCACAAAGGATTTGGTTCCCACAGGCCATGGAGAAAATCTTACAAGGGGAATCAGAATTCTGACATTATCAAATTTGAATGCTTAACTACCCTACAGTGAAAAGTAGTCTTTCTCCATATGCATGTATATGTGTGTGTAAAATATAACAAGAATTCTGTAATCACCATGATTCTGCTACTTATTAAGAATTATGCTATGGCTCCCAAATAAAAAGTTCATCAAGATAAAAAGCTTCTACACAGCAAAGGAAACAGTCAACAAAACAAAGAGGCAACCCACAGAATGGGAGAAGATATTTGCAAATGACACTACAGATAAAGGGCTGGTATCCAAGATCTATAAAGAACTTCTCAAACTCAACACCCAAAAAACAAATAATCAAGTCCAAAAATGGGCAGAAGATATGAAAAGACACTTCTCTGAAGAAGACATACAAGTGGCTAACAGACACATGAAAAAATGTTCATCATCATTAGCCATCAGGGAAATCCAAATCAAAACCACATTGAGATACCACCTTACACCAGTTAGAATGGCAAAAATGGACAGGGAGAGAAACAACAAATGTTAGAGAGATTGTGGAGAAAGGGGAACCCTCTTACACAGCCACTTTGGAAAACAGTGTGGAGGTTCCTCAAAAATTTAAAAATAGAGCTACCCTATGACCCAGCAATTGCACTACTGGGTATTTACCCCAAAGACACAGATGTAGTGAAAAGAAGGGCCATATGCACCCCAATGTTCATAGCAGCAATGTCCGCAATAGCCAAACTGTGAAAAGAGCCGAGATGCCCTTCAACAGATGAATGGATTAAGAAGATGTGGTCCATAGATACAATGGAATATTAATCAGCCATCAGAAAGGATGAATACCCAACTTTTACATCAACATGGATGGGACTGGAAGAGATTATGCTAAGTGAAATAAGTCAAACAGAGAAAGTCAATTATCATATGGTTTCACTTATTTGTGGAACATAAGGAATAGCATGGAGGACATTAGGAGAAGGAAGGGAAAAATGGGGGGGGGGGGAATTGGAGGGAGAGATGAACCAGGAGAGACTATGGACTCTGAGAAACAAACAGGGTTTTAGAGGGGAGGGGGGAGGAGGGATTGGTTAGCCTGGTGATGGGTATTAAGGAGGGCACGTACTGCATGGAGCATTGGGTGTTATACAAAAACAATGGATTATGGATCACTACATCAAAAACTAATGATGTATTGTATGGTGACTAACATAATAAAATTAAAAACAAAAAACAAAAAAAAACAAGGTATCAGGGCACCTGGGTGGCTCAGTTGTTAAGCGTCTGCCTTCGGCTCAAGTCATGATCCCAGGGTCCTGGGATCGAGCCCTGCATCAGGCTCCCTGCTCAGCGGGAAGCCTGCTTCTCCCTCTCCCACTCCCCCTGCTTGTGTTCCCTCTCTCACTGTGTCTCTCTCTGTCAAATAAATAAAATCTTAAAAAAAAAAAAAAAAAAAAACAAGGTATCAAATACTGTAAATCATTTTTTAGCCAATTTTCAGCTAAAACATAACTCAACAAAATGACATTTTTCTTCCAGATAAATAAAAGTTTAACATGTATCAAACTATTAAAAAAAAAAAAGTTCAAATAAAAGTCAATGGGAAGAGGAGAGCAGGGGAGAGCAATAACCAGAGTATGCCAAGCCTGACTGTATAGCACATTTTAAAATCAGCCCAGTTCTGACTTTATGATAATCTCCATGGTTTAGATTAGTTATATTCAAGAAGTAGTATTTTAGGCATTAAATTCACTTTTGAGTTACTAAATTAAAAAATGTTGTAAGGGGGGGTGCCTGGGTGGCTCAGTCGTTAAGCGTCTGCCTTCGGCTCAGGTCATGATCTCAGGGTCCTGGGATCGAGCCCCACATCGGGCTCCCTGCTCGGCGGGAAGCCTGCTTCTCCCTCTCCCACTCCCCCTGCTTGTGTTCCCTCTCTTGCTGTGCCTCTCTCTGTCAGATAAATAAATAAAATCTTAAAAAAAAAAAATGTTGTAAGGAAGCAGGACTTAATGAATAAATCAAGTCATTCAAAACTGTGTAATTCAAATATAAATTGGAGCGCCTGGGTGGCTCAGTCGGTTGAGCATCTGACTCCTGATGTCAGCTCAGATCATGAGATCAAGCCCTGCATCGGGCTCCATGATTCTAAGATTCTATCTCTCCCTTTCTTTCTGCCCTTCCTGCTACCCTCTCTAAAATAAAAAATATATATAAATTAAAATGTTGCATTTTAAAAGTATGTTCATTCTATTTTGTTATACCAGTACACACAAGAACAGGAATATATTCTGAGAAAAAAAGATCACCATAAGACCACAGGATACAAAAAACATTCTAAAACTACTCCATATCACACACTGGTTAAGAGTAAGGGTTGCAGGACCCTTAGAGAAATGGCTAATTCAAGTCTGGAGCAGGAAATAGATAAGATGAACCTGGAATATCCTGTCATACCAGGAAAACAAGGAAGCTATCAAAGGCTTCTAGGGTCTTATTAAAAAAACTCAGTAATCACCATGAAAAAGCTCTCTCTGGTCAATCTTAGAAAATTCCAAGCATTTATCTTACCTTTTCTGTACAAACTGTACCTCAGGTTAACCAAAGAGTTGATGAGGTAAAGATCTTTTTAGTGAGGAGTTTCAGCTAATTGAGAAGGAAGGAAAGACTTCCGATAACACCATTTTGCCATCCCTGTTGAAATAATGGATTCAGGAAATGATCAACAATGGTTGCTAACACCAACTAATTCATAACCTGATAGGGATGGAGTTTTATAATAAATGGACCAGAGTGGTAATACTTAAGAAGAGAAAGAACCACAGTGCTTCCTGATGGACTATAATAGTAAGTCCATAACACTATCCATGAAGTATTTTTC